AAACCTGAATTTCTTTTTCACCACTATTGCAAAGGGACTACAGGAAATCATCTGACTTCTGCTCTCAGGCCCCATAACACTCTTACATAAAGTCCCGACTCTCAGAAACTTCCTGAAGGGAACTAAGGTTGTGCATGGGCTTTGAGAGGTTTGACTAAAAGGCAGACTGCAGTAAGCGTATTTTCATCCAAATGGAGAGGTGATAGCCTTTAAAATCCTAAAGAAGAGATAATCTCTTATGTCTCTGACACAGTGGCTGCTGAGCATGCAGGGACAGATGGGGGCGGTGTGTCGAGTGTCAGAGGAAACCCCAGATATACCGCGGCATGTTCTCACATAGATACCTGCCAAAGAACAGCCTCTGGATGGGTTTTTAAATATTATCAATGGGCATACGCTCTACACACCTCATTTAGAATGAAGCGGGTTTGGTTGACGTGGGTGTGGCATGCTAATGAAGAGCGCATTTTCACGGAGAAAAGGAGATTTGGGATGAAAATATGTTTGTTTGCAGGAATTTGAAGGGTGGTTAGATAGGAGAGACTTCGGACTTAGAGTTGTGATGACTTGTCTTGGAAAAGGATCTAGATCGTTGTTCTCTCTACCAGTGTTTCCTCTAGGTCTGCAACCAAGCGGCCTCAAGTGGCCTACTGAGCACCCAGTGCAGTGGCCCTGGCTTGCGGATTCCCTGGCACCGTTAGCTGTTCCATGCTGGGTGTGTCTTTCAGCTCCTGCTTGCCCTCTTCTGGTGCCCCTGCCTGGGCCACAGATACAGCAGTGCACCGTGGTTAGTACTATGTACACAGGGACGCCTCTTCTCATATGTCTCTGCAGGGGTGCCCTGACTGGTGTGGCCCAGTGGATTGAGCGTCATCCCATAAACTGGAAAACCGTTGGTTCGATTCCTGGTCAGGGCACATGCCTGGGTTGCAGGCCGGGTCCTTGGTTGGGGGCATGTGTGAGGCAATATTGGTGTTTCACACATTGTTGTTTCTCTCCCTTTACCTCTCTCTAAAAATAGATAAATAAAATCTTTTAAAAAATATCTCTATAGGGAGCCATATAAGTACAGCAACCTCATTGCATTTATGCATACATTAATTAATTTATCAAAGCATATTTATAGCAGTCGTACTGAGTGTGCCTCTAAATGCCCCCCTCCATCTTTGGCCTGGATGACACTTCTCTGCCTCTGAGATGAGCTGCTCTCCAGAGCCTCGCTCTGCGTCCTCTCCTGGCCACTGTCACATGGGCTGTTTTTCAGCTCGCTGGCTGGCATCTCCCACCCACCCTTGACTGGAAGCTTCCTCACGGTGACAAGGCCTGTGTCCATTTGGTAAACAGTAGCTCCCCTGGCGTCTCACATGGTGCCTGGAGCACGCACTGATGTTGACGTAGCAGTGTTGGAGAGTAACAGACAAATGCATTCTGCGCACACAGAGGCAATGAGTGTTTTGCCAGGTTTTCGCAGGGGATGGATACCCATCTAACAGAGATCTTCGGGAAAAGGTTTTCCTTTGGGCGTTAGACAAACCAAGGACATTGCAGGTGCCTGTTTACTGAGCTCACTTCCCTACTCGACTGGGAGCCCCCTGAGAACAGGAACAGAGCTCTGTTTGTTCAAATCCTACATAATCAGCATACACTCAATGTTTGGAAAGCTTACAAGAAGTTCATTTTATGGGAATGGGTGGTTTACAGAGCGATAATGCTTAAGTAATTCACTGGCTTTGGCTGGCCACTAAGAATACCTTGGTAAATATTAGCTAATATATAGCCTTTTGCTTGTTATTAAGATTTACTGATTTAAATAGAAAGTAACCTAAAAACTGTGCATGTTACATAACCCAGACACCATAGCCAATCTTAAATCAACAGATTGTTCCAAAAATGCACATTGGCTCTGTCTGTGGTTGGATTAAATGCCATTGTCTAAGCAAAGCTGGATATGTGCTGTGGATAAAGGGTGTGCTGTGTGAATGATGGATTTATCCTGTAGTCTTGCATTCTCTAGGTATAATTCTTCTCACTCTTTGAATAAATAAATCAACAGCACATGAGAAAAGTACCTTCGCTAAATGCCAGATTTTATCACATAAATCCCAAAATAAAGTCTGCCTTTAAATCTCAGTGTCTTACATAACAGGGAGTGTTGTATAGCGAGATTAACACAGTATCTGATTTCTTCCTGGTGTGACCTTTCTTTCATCTTACAACTATGTGATCTTACTTTCATCTTACAAATATGTACTCATCTATGTCTAAATGTTCCCCTGTGTCTTTGTCAACACTTGGAAATCTCAGCATCGCCGCGTGTTTCAGAGAATAGGCTGGGAGACTGATGGTAACTAATTGTTTCTGGTGGAAAGTTATTAGGCACGACCTTGGGCAAACAGCAGGAGTGCCACAGAGCGTGGCAAGGAAAGGAGAGAAGTGCCGGAACACAACCCGCGCCGGCTGCCCAGGGACCTCAGCCGGTGGCTCGTCATGTCTTAGCATGACGGTATTCAAGCCATGTGAGGGTTGGACAGATAAAATATATACCCGGGTTGGGACCTGGTCTGAGACCAACCAATTGCCTTGGTTTAAACCACACAACTCCACTATTCAATGAAGTGTTTTAAGCTAATACCAATTAGCATCAGTCCACTGACCCAAAGACTAAATTATATTAAGCTGGGTCTAAAGGAAATCAGCCTGCACACAGAGACCAACTCCCAACACCACGTCCTTGCTTTTCGCAGCCATGGATGCTTCAGATTGGGGCATGTTTAGGATGCTGGTAAGTGCGAACCATCTGGGGAAGGCAGCAGAAGCCGGCTGGCTTTGTCTCAGTTCTTTGCAAGTCCAGGCTGATGATATTTTATTAGTACCAGAGGCGTGGACACCCACACTTACCTGAGAGATAAGTCAGGGGTTACTTATTCACACGACAGAAATAGTCTTCATCTGCAAAAGCAAAATGAATTTAAGAGAGACAGGAGGAGAAGAGTAGTGGGGAAAAAAAGCCCTCGGAAGTTGGCAGTTAGGAGCCATCTCTGGCATTATAATGCATGGCAAAGAGAATGTGGGCGCAATGGATCATTGTTGGCTTTAGAATTTACTATGTTATGTGAGGGCCACTCTATGGAGAACTTTTTACACAGTGTGAGCTTCCATGAACCTGGGAAAGGGAGAACACCCGAGGGATTGTCAGCACGGGGAGAGGAGGTGTGTGTGGAGAAAGGGAGCGACTGGGCAAGGAGGCACCTCTTTCTCCCTCTGTGAGTCTAACTTGGGACCATCCCCGAATGCTCTCTGAGGACTTGAGGTCAATGAGGGTTGGGTGGGGTGGGGGCAGGCCCCTCCGAATGTGTGCACTGCTGTTTGCTCTCCTAGTAGCTTTTTAAAATATATGTATCTTTAGAACCTGTCCTCAGAATTTCAAATCACCCCAGCTGTGGTTTTCTCCTGCTGCTTCTACTCGGTGTTGAGTTCTTGAGCTTGGTTCAAGATCTGGTTCAAGACCTTAAGCAAGAAACTGTGGAATATCAGTTTTGTTTAAAGTTTATTGCTAAGTTGGTTTCGCTTCCTAGTTTGCATGAATAAACACATTGTTGAAGGGGGATTTTGAAATCTATTTTAGAAACATATTTGCATTTAATTAAAAATACCACGAAGACACTGCTAACTGGGGTGAGCCACCTTAGGGTGGGGGGGCACACCTAGAGGACAAGGTAAGCTCATGTGTATGACCCCTTGGTTTCGTTGTTGTTGGCTGTTTAGGGGGAAATCCCCTCACTCCCTGCTGTAGAATGGGAGGCAAGATAATGTCATCAACAGGAGACCATTGATCAGATTGTATTTCAAGGGCTTAATTAGTTGACTGAATTAGTCCCTTTATGTTTTTTTTTTTAAATCAATACTAATTAATTAAATACACAGAGTGTGCTAGCAGCTGGGAAAGGGGGATGAATGAAACTTGGGGCTTCCCCGACAGAGTCACAATTTACACTGGAGCCCGGTGTTCCTGCAGCTCGGGAGCAGGGGAGGACGTGAGTGGTACTGACTGACGGTGACCATCCTGCTACTGTCGGGGGGATCTTGGCACACCACGAAGAGGGAGTGGAAACAGGGTTGTAGGTGCACTGAGGAAACTTCGGAGATGATGCGGTAGGACTGGACCACACCATGCTGAGGAACTTTGTTCTAAACAGTGTTGAGCATTAAAAACAAAAGGAAGTTGATTGATACTTGTCTTAAAATGTTTCAGGGAAATTTAAGTTTAGAAGAGAAAACGTCATACTTGAGATGCAGTATGGCAGAGGCTCTGGACTGAAAGCAGGGGACCTTAAGCTCTAGTTGTCATTCTGTCACTCATTAGATATGTGACTTTGACTTTGACTATGTCATTGAAACTTTCTGAGTCTCCATTCCTTCATTTAATGTGTGAGAGGACTGAATTGAATCTGGGTTCCTCTTGGTGTGTAAGTACCAATAGCACTACACAACGTGGTTTGGGCAGTATATTTGATGAGCTGTTATTTTTCATAGTTTTTTATTTTTATATCTCACAAAAAGTGTAAATGGTGCATCAAGCTTCTGCTTTCACAGATATTCTTGCTTAACATACCATTACATTTATATTTTTTTTAAAAGGAGAGCTCATTTAAAAGAATTATATCAGAAAGTCGTAGTACAGCTCTTGATGGTGGTTATTACAAACATTTTTAAGGCTGTGTGCAAGGGAGGTCAGGAACCTTCTTAGGTTCCTTCCATTTCTATCTTATTGGAATTATTTTCCCTTTTATGTTTGAGCCACATGGTCTCTGGTGGAAAGTTTCTATTGAAAATAGGATTGTGGTATCCAGAAGGAACTTGTCAGCTTGCCCAAATGGTCAGATTCCGGATCGTTTGGAATGTCTTTTCATACATAAGTAACTCTTTATGTGAGTCACCGACGTCACTGCTGCTACAAATATAATTTTGTTTTGTTTTGTTTTTCTTTGATGTGTTTTCAGATCAAGGCGTTGACAGAAAGAATGTTCAAACATCTTCGGAAATGGTTCGTCACTCGCTTTTTTGGGCATTCTCGGCGAAGAACGAGGCTGGTTTCCAAAGACGGAAGGTGCAACATCGAGTTTGGCAATGTGGAGGCACAGACGAGGCTGATCTTCTTTGTGGACATCTGGACTACCGTGCTTGACCTCAAGTGGAGATACAAGATGACCATCTTCATCACGGCCTTCCTGGGGAGCTGGTTCCTCTTTGGTCTCCTGTGGTACGCCGTGGCCTATATTCACAAAGACCTCCCTGAGTTCCATCCATTTGCCAACCACACCCCTTGTGTGGAGAATATTAATGGTCTGACCTCGGCTTTTCTGTTTTCTCTGGAAACGCAAGTGACCATTGGGTATGGATTCAGGTGTGTGACGGAGCAGTGCGGCACTGCCATTTTCCTGCTTATCTTCCAGTCTATACTTGGAGTCATCATCAATTCCTTCATGTGTGGTGCCATTTTAGCCAAGATCTCCAGACCCAAAAAGCGTGCGAAGACCATTACCTTCAGTAAGAACGCGGTGATCAGTAAGCGGGGTGGAAAGCTTTGTCTCCTAATTCGAGTGGCTAATCTTAGGAAGAGCCTCCTCATCGGCAGTCACATATATGGGAAGCTTCTGAAGACCACAGTCACTCCCGAGGGAGAGACCATTATTTTGGACCAGACCAATATCAACTTCGTAGTTGACGCTGGGAATGAAAATTTATTCTTCATCTCCCCGCTGACAATTTACCACATCATCGATCACAACAGCCCCTTCTTCCACATGGCAGCAGAAACCCTTCCCCAGCAAGACTTTGAATTAGTGGTGTTTTTAGATGGCACCGTGGAATCAACCAGCGCTACCTGCCAAGTCCGGACATCCTATGTCCCAGAAGAGGTGCTTTGGGGCTACCGTTTTGCTCCCATAGTATCCAAGACCAAGGAAGGGAAGTACCGAGTAGATTTCCATAACTTTAGTAAGACAGTGGAAGTGGATACCCCTCACTGTGCCATGTGCCTTTATAATGAGAGAGATGCTAGAGCCAAAATGAAGAGAGGCTATGACAACCCCAACTTCATTTTGTCAGAAGTCAACGAGACAGATGACACTAAAATGTAACAGTGGCTTTTCCACACGAGTACAGTGATGTTTTGAACATGCATAGTGACTAGAAGCATTACAAAGCAATCAACATTTTGGAGGTATGAAAGTAGACAAAAGCTTTCCAAGTCCACCAGCACAATGCCCTTGGAGTCCATAACCATGATCCTACAAGACACGCGGCTGTACAAGCCTAGGGCATTAGAACATGCATTGTATGTGCGGGGGGCTGGAACGCAGAAGTCATGGGAGCTCACTTGGAACTTGAATATGATTACCGGCATTTGAAATCATGCAGTGTTGATAGGAACAGACAAAATCATCAAAAGTTTCATGAGATCAAATGAGATCTTTTTAAAAGTCTCCTTGAAGAAGGTATACATAGGATCAGGGAAAACCATATTGTCATTTTGATTCTACAATAATAAATAGGTCACTTTGTGGGGTTTTTTGTTGTTTTTTAAAAAATTTATTCTTTTTATTTTTCCTGAATTTATTGGGTGACATTGGTTAATAAAATTATATAGGTTTCAGGTGTATAATTCTATAATACATCATCTATAAGAAGGTAGTCTAGTTTTATTTTTTAGCATGAATCTGTTCAATTTTCCCAACACCATTTATTGAATAGACTGTCTTTGCCCCATTGCATGTTCTTGCCACGTTTGTTAAATATGAATTGACCATAAAGTTTTGGGTTTATTTCTGGACTCTCTACTCTGGTACATTGATCCACGTGCCTGTTTTTATGCCAGTACCATGCTGTTTTGATTACTATGGCCTTGTAGTATAGTTTGATATTAGCATGATTCCTCTAACTGTATTCTTCTTTCTCAAGACTTCTGTGGCTATTCTGGGTCTTTTATGGTTCTATATAAATTTTGGGAATATTTTATCTAGTTCTGTGAAATATACCACTGGTATTCTGATAGTAATTCTGTTGAATCTATAGATTGCTTTGGGTAGTACGGACATTTAATGATGTTAATTCTTCACATCCAAGAATACGGTATGTGCTTCCACTTATTTGTATCTTCTTTAATTTCTTTCTTCAGTTTCTCATAATTTTCCAAAAACAGGCCTTTTATATCCTCGGTTAAATTCATTCCTAGGTATTTTATTTTTTGGATGCAATTGTAAATGGGATTGCTTTCTTAGTTTTCCCTTCAGATAGTTTGTTACTGATGTATAAAAATGCAACTGTTTTCTGGGTATTTATTTTGTATCCCACTAGTTTACTGAATTAATTGATCAGTTCCACTAATTTCTTAATGGAATCTTTAGCATTCTCCATATACAATATCATGTCATCTTCAAATGGTTTTTATTTTAACGTTGACTTTTATCAAAGGAAAAATTGTCTCCTGAGTTGGGGGGAGCTGAACCAATCAAAGAAAATAAGAAAAGACTGTTACACAAAAAATACCTGTGACTTTGAATTTTTCGAGACCTAGTCCTTGGAGCTTCCACCTCAGTCTGGGTGACAATGAATTTCTGGAAGAGCACGGGAAGGCTCAGTCCGCAGAGAAGAACAGTGAGCCCAGCTTGCCTTGCGGTGCACCCACACACTGCTGCCCAAGCTGGGCTTCGGCCCAGACCATCTCATTGTGTATTTAGACAGAAGCTAAGTCACCACTTCAGAATCTCAATGAATACTTCCTTGCATGAAAGAATGCTTGATGTGAAAATGGTGGTGATATTTCTTTTAAGTTGTATTATGGGGTAAGGAGCTGCAAATATGTTAAAATGGTATCTCTTGATCTTCCAAGAAGGCAATGAGGAGTTTGACGGAGTAATGTCAGCTTAAAAGGGAAAGTGCCTCTGAGGCTCCTGGGAAAAAACTGTGTCTTGTCTTTTTCTGCTGGGGTTTGCATTGAAATGTTGTTTCTAAAGGAGGAGGATGAAAGGGAAAGGAATGGCATGTGGCCTCACCGTGAGGGAAGGGCCAGGCCTTCCTTTCTCTAAGGCCGATACTGCGTGTTCTACAAGGAACCAACTTAATATTAGGATTGACCTCTAGGGGAAGGTTTTACTGTGAATGTCTTATTTAATTCCCCACCTGTTATTTTGAATGTATTCTAGAAAGGATGGTACTCAAAGCTGCTTAGGAATCAAAATGTTTTCAGTGTGTTGATTAATATATTAAATCTCTGAAACGGTGCACGTTCTTTCTACAGCTGTCAGTTATTGTGCATCCATTGCCACAGACCAGCTGATGGAAATCCCCTTGCTGAGGGTGGGCTTTCTCCTGGGAGTGGTGGAAGGGGTGGGAAGGTGGCAAGTAGGATGCATATGTTGTCTGGGCTTCAGCTTCCCCCGGAGGAAATGACCTTGGCTGCAGACATGCCCTTCCTGAGCAGCTCCAGCATATCCCTCCAGTGTGAGTCTTTGCACATGGCGCGGCAGCGGCCAGCAGTTGTCGGTAGGGGTGGCTTTGTTGGGCTGGACCTGGGTTTGGTTGCACTTGTACAGATCCATCCACACAGCCTGATCTTTTGGACCAAGCCCAGTGGGAAGTCTGGTGGGTCCACAGTTGCACCATTAGTCAGTGGTCAAAACAGCGGACACAGCTGGCCCACACAGAAGATCACTCTGTGCCTATGTGTTGGCATCACATTGGAACCTACTGATGAAAAGAAAGGAAATCAGGCATCTCAGGCTGGAGGAGCTAGAATTCTCTGCTGGCCCACCGTAACAAGGCTTATGACTCTTTCCTCCCTTTGTAAGCTGGAGAGAAGATGCACAGACTTGGTCCTTCACGTCAGAACACACTCTTCCTGGTCTGTTCTTCTCATTAGCAGCGGGCTTGGGGGCTGCTGGAAGTAAAATGATCCAAAACAATCTGTTTCATTTGCTTGTCAAGAACGCTGAATGACAACAGGAAGTTCTATGACTGGCATTTGTTTCTGGGTTATTTGATGGAAGCTTATCTGCTTCCAAATACTCCTTTATTAGAATTAAGGCATTCTGCCCCTTGGAGTCTCCTTTTCAATGTAAATTCCCACTGGCCCTCTGGCGGCTGTGAACAGACATCCAGAAAAGCCCTTGGGAAGTACCCTTCCCCAGGTACCTGTTGGTAGTTCTAAGGGGTGGCCGGAACCTCAAAGCATCATAAAATCCCTGAGCATTTAAAGAGAGAGGGTTATCAAGGGCATAGGAGCTCAGTGAGTAAAAACATACACGAGAAAGAGAAGATTCCAGAAGGCTAACTTGGCAGTGCTAAAGGCAGGCCTTTTGTTCTAATGTGGCACCATTGTTCCCAGTAGGATCTGACTACATCCGTACTGCCACAGGCCATGTTATTAAATTTACTGATTTATCCATTTTACAAGGAATGCAGCAGTGCTTATTCCTTTCAGGGGGGAAAAAAAACAGACTGCATCCCGTGATGCATTACCACAGTCAGAGTTTCCCTTGGTGCTGATTCCACTCGACTGGCCTAATCTATCTCTGTTGCTATGGGGATTTTGACTTGGAGAGTCTGATCCTGGTTTATCTTCCTGGACTTAGGTTGGCTCAAGCCCCAATAGTTAGAGTTAAGATTTGGGAGGCCGTCTAACAATTGATTCCTCAAGAGAGAAAGGGTGAGGGAAAGATCCTCTCTCAGTTGCCAAATCTAAGAAGTGAGGCGATTAGAGTGTCTGTTTCCATGGCTGATGGGTGTGTGACGGGCCAGCACAGAACTTCCCGGGCGGGTCGTGTGGGCCGTGAAGGGGCACCTTCCCTGGAGATGTTCCATGAAACGGGAGACACATCCTCAACAGGGTGATGCAGTAAACAGCACAGGGAGTCTTCCCCCGTTTGGAACAGAGGTCTGCAAACCTCTGAAGCAAAGAAGGCCAAGGAGCCCCGGCCCCGCCCCTGGGCCGTTGTTGTCTGCCATTACAGGAAGTGTGTGTCAATCAAAGCTTGACAGGGGAGATAGAGCATTTTATTTTGGAAGCCAGAAGTTTGAGAACAATGACTGGAATTTCCTCTTTCTGTCCAGCGAGGGCTGTTTGTCACTGGGGAGATAAAAGTCCAGGGGTAGGGAATAAAGGTTATCGGGAACTGCGCAACACAGAGCCTCGGTGGGGGGGCTCCCCGGCGAGGAGGGGTTACGGAGGAAATCTATTTCAATGCCTGTCATTAAGTTTCCATTAAAAGAACATTCAGTTAGGAATTCAAAAATAATTTAATCTCCCCAGCCAGATGCACCCAGCTGGACTCCTTGGAGCTGAGCCCTCCAGAGGAAGATGTGCGCCGGGGCTGCAGAGGAGGCGCTGGTGCGGGCCACTCCGCGTCTCCATCCCACACACCCTTGACCCTCGGCTGCACTGGGTGTTCTAGAAGACAGTCGTATCTTCCGAGCGAGGGAGAAACCCCAGGACTTGTGATAGTAGAAGAGACTTGCTCTGGGGCTACCCCCCGAGTCCCTGCTGGGTGTTAGGTTCTGTTTTAGGCGTACACAACCTCCCTTAATTCTCCCAGAAACACTCTGAGGCACTAGCATTATCCCTATTTTTTTTTTAAATCCTCATCTGAGGATATGTTTATTGGTTTGAGAGAGAGAGGAAGGGGAAGAGAGAGAGAGAAAAACATTTATGTGAGAGAGAAACATCAATCGGTTGCCTCCTGTTCAAGCCCCAACAGGAGATTGAACCCAATCCTAGGTGTGTGTGCTCTGACTGGGAGTTAGAACCTGCAACCTTTGGTGTGCAGAACGATGTTCCAACTACCTGGGCCACCTGGCCAGGGCGTCATTTCCACCTATTTTTGACTGGAAGCAACTCAGGTAAGGAGTTGTCATCCAGAGTCATGAGCTAGCAAACAGCAGGGCAGGGCCCCAGCTCTGATCTGTGTGTCTTGAGAGCCCATGAATTTAAAATCACTCTAGTCTACATCCTACCATGGATCACCCGTGAGAACACTCTTGGGGCATCAGACATTTACCTACGACCCTTGGATGGTCGACACGTGTTCCTGGTTCTGTCTTACACTCTGGGAGAAGCCCCTCATCGCTGAGCATGGGGAGAGCCCAGTTCACCTTGTGCTCGCAGCACCAGCTCAGGGCCCTCTAGTCAGTAAGTGGTCTCCGAGTCAGCAAGCCCGACTTGCTTCAGCCAGCTCGGTCAGCGACGGGCTTGACTCCACCTCTGTCCAAAGAACTTTTGACTGAGCTACACCACGCACTAGCAGTGGGGCCTTGACAGACAACTTCATCAACTCTGTTTCTTTATTTGTAAAACAGAGCTTTAAAGTACAGTTAAGGGGAGAAGTCGATGAAATAATCGGTGTAAAAATCCCTATGTAAAACGTAAATGACTATCACCCTGTGGGTTGGACGTCATCCCACAAGGCAAAGGATTGTGGGTTCGATCCCCGGTCAGGGCACGTGCCTGGGTTGCAGGTTTGGTTCCCGGTTGGGTGCATGCAAGAGGCAACAGATCAATGTCTCTCTC